TGAATTGATTCCATGTTTTATAGAGCCATCATTTTTCCATCCTTGTACTAAAATATATTTTAACCAGTGTAATTTCACATCTCAGAAATTCAATTAGGACTCTTACTTTTGTAATAAGGTAGGTTTGCCTAACATGTCCCAGTACACTTCTTGATATATAATATTTTAGAAGCTGTCACTGCTGGGTAACTTGTAAACACTGAACCTGTGTCAAAGGTCATAACAAAAGCTATGTCATGGCTTTTAGAAGAAGTATTTAAAATTATTTGGTTAACTTCTGAGTAATATTAATCCATATCAATTCTCTGGAACAGAAGCAAATATATTCAGCACTTCATAAGAGTCAGATTAGACCAAAAATGGAGTATTGCTGTCATATCTCGGTTGGTTCTGCCCAATTCACACTGTCCAGACTCAATAGAGTTCAAAAGTACTTATGTAGCCTTGTGGGTGATGAATTATTCTCCACTGTGCAACCCTTATTCCACAGATGAAATGTTGCTAGCCTCTCACTACTCTATCACTATGGCAGACATTCAGACGAGTTACATTCCTTGGTGCTACCAGATTAGACCTTCACAGCAAGGACCTGCTATGCCATGTTCACAGTGACAAACCATCCTTTGATAAGGAGTAAGTTCCACTCAGACATCATCTTTCCCAGAACTGTTGCTTTGTGGAATAGACTCCTGAAGGGGGTGCTTCCCTGATAACTACAATCTTGGTCTCTTTAAATCTATGGTCAAATATCTATCCCACATATTCTTGTAATATGAATTTCTTACTTCCTCCTTCCCCCTCTCTTACAACAATCTCACTCAGTAACCTTCTACCTTGAGTGGTCCTTGGGGCTTGTATTGGGTAAACTAACAGTATAAAAAAATAAAAACAAATGCTGACGTGAATCAAGGAATACATATATAAATACAACCAATAATATATTCAATGTTGTAAGGGATCTAGAAATTTGAAATAAAGAAACTATTTTTCTTGTTTGACTTCTTTTTCCATATCTTAAACTGAAAACTGATATTTCTTATATTTTGCATCATAACCATCAAGTGTTTGTCATTTTCTATTTCTATTAGGGTGTTTGGAAAGTAAATATATTTTACCAAAAAGGATATAAAAAAACAAAAAGTTAAATTTATCTAAATATTATCAAAAATGTGATAATCTTCATTCTCAATGACTGCAGCTCAATAGAAAGGTAAATTTTCAATTCCAGATTTAAAGAAATTTGGAGTTTTCTACAAAAAAATTGAAACACTGTTTCCAATTTCTTTGTTCCCAAATGTTCAAGCACAATGATAAAAGCTCATGAGGGATCCAATTTCCCTCTTCATAAGTTTTCTTAAGTTAACTCTGAAATGCAGTATAAACAGAAGAGATGATAGTTCTAGATACAGTTTTATACCATTCAATCTTGGTTGACTCATAATTCATAGCAGTGCAATACATAATTACTTTTCAACCATAAAAACTATGACCACTATAACAATCACCAGTTATCAAATCATTTTATTTTACATTATTACAATTTTATTTATTATTTTTAATCAGAAATTTATTGAGAATAGTAAATAAACTGTTAAAACTGAAATTAACATTGATTTTCTTAATAGATTTCATGTCGTTATTCATGCCATCCATACAGATATAAAGAGCAGTTGTCAGATGTGTGTGTGTGTGTGTGTGTGTCTGGCTAAAACTAAAAAACTACAATAGTTCATGACAAAGTAAATATGTATACAGGTTCATCACCCAAGCTAATATTTTTTTTTAAAATTATCTTTGTATGATCTGTATTTATGAAAATATTTTAAAATTAAAGTGCATTTGAAATTCTCATAATTAAAAAGCAAAGATGAATGGTAATAATTCTTATTCCAGATTAGGATTACTGTTCATTTTTAAGTTTTTATTCTGCTAAATGCTATACATGTATTTTTAAAATTTTTATTCTCTCAAATTTATTTTCATAAATGTTAATAAAAGTGTAACTTTAAAATATTTTTTTGTGTGTGTGTGTATTTATTTTTTCAGCCATCTTATGGAAAATTATTTTTTTTATTCAATCTTTAAAAAAAATAAACTTCATTGTTTTTATTTGGTTTGTAACTAGTATAAAAAATAATTCTCAATTAAGTTTTATTAAAGCACAAATTTATAGTGAGCCTTATTTTCCAAAAATTAACTTCATAAAACAAATATTCAACATGACTAATGTTGACCGTAAGTTAAAAAAAACTTTTCAAATACAAATATAACTTGAAATTTAAACAAACTTTTCAAAACTAAATTCTCAATGTATCTTGCTTCTATTCTCTTTCAAAATAGTTAGTAATTAATGTTTAAAAGTTAAATTTACTTAAAAAAATCTAAATTCCCCTCTAAAACAAATAGTAAATAATTATTTTTTGAAGAAGTAAGGCTCACTATAGTTTTTGCTTGCAAAAATGATTAAATTAAATATGTTTAAATATATATTAATTTAAGTTTAACTTTTTATTGATAATAATTTCAAAAAAAGGTTAATGATAACTACAGTCTTGGTCTAAGATTGGTTTGTCTGAAAACAACATTAACACATTATTTATGTTAGTATTTAAAATGAAAAATAAAGTGTCTTTTTGAACAAAAATATGGGGACATTTACCTCACCCCCAAGCATAGTATTGGCAGTGTGGTATTTTCCTAAATTTCGTTAAAAACCAAAAAAAGAAAAAAAAAGAAAAAGAAGTTTATTTTTTAAAGATTGACTAAAAAACAATCATTTTTCCATAAGATGGATGAAAGATATCAATAAATTGTCAATAATAAACTATTATTCAGAGATCTTACAAGCAACACCGGGTATTCCCACGAGTTGAAAATAATTTTCCTATCATTAAAGTGAAAACTGTATTTTTTTTCTGTATATTTGTTTAAATTTATAGAAAAAAATAATAAATTAATGTGATAGAATGGTTGAAATATTTTAGGAAAAAAGTACTTTATAAAAAATACAAGTCACTGAATATAAACCATAGAATTTGATATTTTTATTTCAATTATTCTGGACAATTACTGATTTAATGTTATAATTTTCTTTTTTTATAAATCAGTCACAAAAACAAATAAATTCTAGTCTTTACATGGTGAATTTTCATAATTTCACAAAACAAGATACTATTTAATTTGTTCAGTTTTCATCTAGTAAATTAAGAGAAAATAATGAACATTGTTTTAACACCACTATTCAAAAGATTAGATATTTTTCAGTGAATTCATTAATGAATGAATTATGATCAATGTCTAAGTCAAATTATAAACCTGTTAGTCAAAAGTACTTTGTAAAAAGCAAAACAGAAATATATTTTGATTGTAAGAAAATGTTTTTAATCTGCAATAAGTTCAATGAACAATTTAGAAAAAAAAACATTTAATATGCTAAAAATTGCTCAAACCATGATATAAGAAGTGATATTCAAGTTGTAAAGAAAAATTACTGTGCCATAATTTATACAATGATAATTAGATTAAATTGGTGTGTAATACTGCTACAGATGATGAAAACCAGTTGAAGAGGTAATTGATTGTATGGACAGTGATCAAAACAGGAATGATGGTTGCATTTTATCAGAATGATAAAAGCAATTTCATAGAAAAACATGTAAATAAGGTGAAGATCAATAATAAAAAAAAAATCCTTCTAAATAGGCTAAATAAAGTGTACAGTATTACTTGTTTCTCTTTTATTAATATCCATTTTATACTGGAAGACCAAAATGGACTGAAATAAACATAGTAAACATTCTTGGAATAGAGCCTACATTTTGGTTTGTTAGCTCCAATCAAAAAATGAAAAATTGAGTATCAATATTAAAAAAGATCAAAACTGTGAACCTTTTATTTAATGAATACTATTTTTATGTTGTTTCTTACCTTTTGCTTACAAAATTTTCAATTCTGTAAAAGAAATGCTTTGTTGTAAGAGAATTCTAATTTAATTCAGAGTTGAATTAAATTAGAAAGAATCTTAGTAGTAATGTCAATAGTACAAATGAAGCAGCCTGTTCAGTTTCTTACAATCAAGTCAATAAATATTTTAATTTTATTTTTAATACCTACAAGCTAAGAATGCATGATAATTTCTTATCCAGTTGAATTATGTATAAGAAAAAAAAATTATTGAGAACATAAAAAGTGAAAAATATTATTTCATGAAGTGCAGTGACAAACGAAAAATAATGAAGGAAAGTTTGAATATAGTTAGTCATCAGTTTCTACTTCTGAAATGGCTGCCATTGTACCATTGTTCATTGGTAGAGAAGTAGAACTATTGTTATTGTTGCCACTATTATTGAGCATAATACTAGAAGAATTTTTGTTACTTGTCCAGTTGTTAGGGTTATCAGAACAGTCTGTAACAGGTGTGGTGGCATTTAGCAAGCATTGCTTAGTTTCTGTTACTTCATCTGCAGATTCTATGGCTGGTTGATTTTTGGGACTCCATGCTTCATTTGACACATCAGAATTATCAGAAGGTGAAAAGTGGTTGAAATTAGCATTTTGATTTTCTGAGGGAGATGATACTATTTCAGTCAATCCTTCGTCAGCACCACTAGAGGCAATTACTTCTGCAGTAGAAGCAGGAAGATCAGAGGATGGCAAGGGACAATTACTGCTCTCCTCTAACTGTGGATGTTCATGGTTTTCTGAGTCAATGTCTTGGTTCTGAGAAAATTCTTCAGCAGTTAAATTAGTTCCCATGGCACTCATCTCAGACATAGCAATGGGGTTTGTGTTAATAGTCCCATTTGAGTTAACTTTTTCATTGTTGCATTCTGAAGGTGAGGAGGTATCTCTGTTAGTAATATCATCAGTAGATTGCAATCTCTGGCTGGCAACATTTTGAGCTTGTGTGTTTATATTAACAGGTGAAGACACTCTTTGACTGCCACTACTAGAAGGTGCTGTTATTTCATGGGATGGTTGGGGACTGGATTGCAAATTACAATTTGTAGCAGCTGCTTCTGGAGGACTAAGTTTACTCACTGACACCTTTAACTGTTTGTTCTCTTCTTTCAGTTGAGCAATTTGTTCTTTTGACTCTTTTAACTGTTGTTGGAGGAGATACATCATACTCTGCATGCCCTCGACATCTTCATCTATTTCAGCTAAGAATTCATCCAAATCTAGTAAGAACATTTTAAAAGATAAAATTACATCTAATGAATTTCATTATCAAAAATTTTTATAAGATAGTACTGAACAATTTAAATAATCAAATGTAAAAAAAATCCCACATTTTCTTCAGCACACATAGATGTCAATTTCAGCATAAATTAAAATTATTTGACAAAGAAAACATTTACTATAATTTATAAAAATCAAAAAGCATAATGAATTTTGAAAGGAAATTTTTATACTTGAAAGTCTTTAAAATTTTCTTTGTAGCCATTAAATTGTGAATAACAGGAATATTTTTCAAAATATTAATTTCCAATCATGTGCTATAAAATTTTTTTAAATTTCATAGAATAGTCAAAAATGAAAATTTTGAAAATATTTGTTAAAACTAAAGATATGTACTAAAAATAATTTTATACTTTCTTTGTTTGTCTATATATTTTTTTAGATTTCATACAACTTTTATTCAATCAAAATTTATTATATAGATTTCTATTTGCCACTTACCAGATTAGACTAAGATTTTATAAGAAAATATATATATATATATATATATATATATATATGTGTGTGTGTGTGTAAATAATCACAAAGAAAATGTAGAACAATATTTCTAGTTTTCATAATACCAACTGTGATTTGCCTGTCCTGAATTAAACTACAAACCCAGAATGTAAAAGTTATATAAAATATTTGATCTTCCTTCTATGAATTCTGACTTTAAAGAGCAAAACTCAAAAAAGATTAAATGAAATTCTAAAATCATATTAATATGCTGAGCATTATAGTAATTTTTATAATTTGTGGATTCTATGTTATCTTAAAAAAATCTCGAGGGAGATAACTCAAAACAGTGTGTGGACTGTGACTTAAAATGTAACTTATTCTGAATTCAGATAAGCCCTATCAGATTCATCAAATTTTTTCCCCACTCTAGCCAACTCACCAGCTTGGTTCTTTTTCATTTCTTGCACAAGAGTTTTTTCCAGGGCAATTTCTCCTTCTAATTTTGCAGTTCTTCCAGATGCTATCAGTTTCCCAAGATCTTCATTTTCTTGCAGTAACATTCGGCATTTTGCCATTAGCCGTTTCCCAGTTTGACTGTAATAGTTAATAGCAAAAAAAAAAAAAAGAAAACAAAAAAACATTAGGACATATTCTGTAAAGAGATAAGGCAAGGATAATCTGATAATAGCAAAAACCAACATAACTATAAGAAATTGTGAGTGTATGTATTGAGGAAAACTATTCAATAACCAAGCAATTTGAAAATTCTCTGGTCCAGGAATATTAAAACGGCATAGCAAAACGAGAATAAATTTACTAATCAAATGTGGATACACAGATTTAAATTGATCCTTATGATTTATTATAATTGTCTGAAACAAATTATATAATGATTAAAAGAAAATGCAACTGATTTACATTTTATATGTGTGTGTGTGTGTGGGGGGGGTACATACGCAATATAATGCTTTATACTGAGTACATATTCTACTTTTGAAACTTTTAACCAGTGTTTCAATTATTATCAAGAAGCTGTTAAGATTCCTGTAAATTAAAAATCAGAATATGTAAGCACAGCAAAAAGTTTTAAATTCTTCAAATGTACTTAATTATCTTTTGATATTAGCATTCAAGTTTAACAAAGAGTATAAATATTAATGATTTGTAGTTTTGATATTAATATGTAAAGAATGATACATTTTCATTTCATTTGTTCAACAAAACATGAAAAAAATTTAATCACAACTAATGGCTTCACAGTAAGGCTAAATTTTGTTAAAATCTGTCACACTGAGTTTATATCAGAATGCTTTTCAATATCATTTTGCATAGTATACATATGTAAAACAAAAAACAAAAAAAAAAAACGATATTTAAATGCCAAAAGAATAATCATAAAAATAATAATAAACAAACAATTTGAAGTACAGATTATCACACAAAATAGTAATCTCTAAAACTTCTAGGAAAAGTGACTAACCTCTAAGAAAGGAATCTATTAGATTTTAGTGCTTTTCCTGGTTAAACTTAATTCTGAAAGTTAGAGGAAATCTCCATAACATTTTTTTTTTTTAAATTTTGGGCAAAGATATTTTTCTTCTGAAAAGCATTCACTAAGTAAGTGGTTGATACTAGATTTGAAACTGTAGCACAAGCTCTAAAGACCAAGATTAAAGCTTAGATATTGGCTATCCAAAAGCCCATTCAGTATTTCTATACTAGCCTTGGAACAAAGGTAAAAATGTTAAACTACCAATTATGTCTGTATCATACATAAAGAAGTGTACAAAATAACAGTGACAATAATAATTCAAATAGATCAAAATGTATTGATAAAATGCTTATTTATATGTAAAGATAGTAAAATTGTATTCCAGTGTAGTTTAATATGGGATAAAGTATTGACAAAAATCAAATAATATAAATTAAAACAAAATATAAACAATTTCTTGGTTCTTTTGTTGACAGTTTTCATAAAATAATGGTTAAATTATTATTTTTGTAAGTTACTAGTGTTAATTTATTGCACCATTGGATACTTTACAATTTTGTCTAAGTGGCAATATAAGCTAAAGTGGGTAAATATCAATAATGCAAAAAATATATACATAGAAGATAATTTGAATTAATAGTTGTTTTATGTAATGCCTTTTAATAATAATTATATATATAATTTAACACATTTTAAACTTTCATGAATTACAGAAAAAAAAAAAAATCACCTTTTTTTTTTTTCTAATATAACCTTGATAAACCTCTTAGGTAAAAAAAAGAATTAATATTATATGCTATTATTTTAAAAATAAAATATTTTAACAAGGAGTGCAATTAAATATTCTCACCCCAATCAAGAAGCATTAAAAAAGTGACAGGAATATTTGATTATTTGGTCAGATTTTGGAAAGTGGGATGAGCCAAGAACTTTTTAGCATTTCTTTCAAAACATTTAAGCAGTAGGAGAAAAATCAATTTATCTCTTTACATAGTTCATATGCAAGAGAAGCAATATGCATTTTTGTTTGAATGATTCCCCTTTAAACAGCACTCAGAAGCTATAGAAATTATATATTTTTTTCTATCTTACAAGAAAACAGTTAATTAAAACAAAGCTGGAAAAAAGAAATATATTTTATAGTTGCATAATTAACGTTTAATTTTGATTATTTTTTACTATCCTAATTCAAACATATTAGGCAAATAATATTCTCAGCTGTATTTACAAAATGCAATAGTGTGTACAGGTTTATCAAAAGGAAAAATTGTTTAATTTATAAAAGTAAAAATGATTAAGCAGTTGCAGTTGAAAAATCTTCAGTCTGCATTTAAGGAAAATGAAGTAATGTAATCTATTTTGAATTCTTTATGGCTTAGAAAAAATTTGAAAACTGAATTATACAGAACTGAGTTCAAGACATAATTAAAAAAATTTAAAATGTACATCTTAAGCCCAAACAGTAAAATAGTGTCTAACTTTTGAGAAAATAAACAAAATTAATATGCAAATGAAACATGCAAAAAAAAAAAAAACAAATAGTATTGGAAAATTAATAAAAGCTTCACAGAAACATCAATGATGAAAAAAAGAAAACGATTTTTTTCATGGTAATAATTTGAGAAAAACTGATTTTTCATACAAAATTTAAATACAAAGAATACCAGCATACAAAACAAGTGTGTACTGGCATTTATTCTGTTTTTATAGTTTTTTTTTATAGTTTTTTTTATATCTTGTTTTTATACTTGGCTAAAAATTGAATTAAAAAAAAATCATAAGTATGAATTATTAGAAATGTGAGGTCAATCTCTGTAGACTAGAAATGAAGACCAAACAACTTCACAATTTCCATTGAATATAATTAAGAAATGAGTCATATATGAGGTTAAACAAGTTATGAGTGTATGAGAGTGTGTTTTTGGTATGACCAAGCATTACAACTATTTTATAATCCTTCCTTGATAGGTATAAGAAGTTTACAGCTTCCACTCTATAACCCCACCCCATAAAGATGGATTTTAGGAGAAAAAGTACACAATAAGTACATACTGTCAGATATCAAAAGTAAAATGAAATTATACATCTTATTACAAACTGTGGATCAGAAAAGAAAAAAAAAAGAAAAAAAAGATTTTGTTGGCTGAAAGTTGCATCCCATTTTTTCTTGGAAAGCATTACTATGATAATTTGTCTACTGCTTGAGCTGCAAAATCTGACAGCTCATATCTAACTATATAGCCTTATTCTTTATCAAAACATCAAAGATGGCAGTACCAAATATTTTTAAAAATAAAGATATGTAGTTAGAGCATATATTCTGCAACTGTTGTAAGACTTGAGGTAAATTGAATGAATATGATTTTGTACCTCTGTGAAAGCCTTTTTTTATTCCTGATAATAGTATTATTTTTTGCTTGTTTACAGTTTTATAGCAAGCATTTGGCCATATAGTATTGCATTTAATTGTATGTAAGGCACCCACATTTCCCATAAGGTAAACAATTTTTCCTATCCAGATGTACATTAGCTAGAAATTGAGGAATTAAAAATTGGGATAATAAAAAGTCAGGTAAATGTGTTTTTTTTCTTAATACTTCCTACTGAAATAACATGGAGGCAAGGCCTTATATACTATCAAATATAGTAAGTTTGTTTAAACAGTATTGGATTATTTTTCTTAGACATGTTAAACATTAAGGAAAAAGCCATTTTATAATCAGCATAAAAAATTAATACAGAATGACATTTTTAATCTGGCATCAAAAGGTGCAACTACTATCTCTTATAAATATTCTATTTAATAGATATCAATGAATGTTATCAAAAATAAAAATAAATCTCATTAATATAGATTCATCCAAAATTAATCTTTTTACAAATTAAATTAAGCTATCAAATTATAAACATTTGTTTTCTTCCTAGTAAAAAAAAACAAAAAAAAAAGCCCCAAATCATTTAAGTTGTTCAAATTTTTTAAATAAGTTATATTGTAAAATAAAGCACAAAACTGAATTATAAAGAAATTCAAATAATCAAAGGAAACTAGACTAAATATTTGAAAAGTAGATATAACCAAAGTGTATCAAAATAATTTTTCTTAAAAAAACTAAAACTCAAAATATGATGAAGGTTCATATATATATATATATATATATATATATATATATATATATATATATATATATATATATATATATAACATTACACTTGCTAAAAAAAACTATTGTTTACTAAAAAATTTCCTCAAGCATATGCACCAATAAAAAACATATTTGAAAAGGATTACATATGTAAGTGAATTTATGCTAAGGTTTGGAAAACAATATCATAGAAGAAAATTAAACTAAATGTATAAAATTATTACACGAGAAAAGAACTCACCACAAAGAGATTATTATATATCAGCAAATAGCAATGAATAAATATAATCAAGCTGTATTTTATTTCAAAATGCAAAATATTCTTAAAACTGGAAAAATTGTGAAAATCTACAAAAATATGAAATATGAGGTTTGTGCAGTTGTAAAAATAAGATGTATAATGCATGCAAAAATATCAGAATTTTTACTATAAACTCATTTAAAACTAAAAGAAAAAATGTTAGTTTCATTTTATCTGAATTATTAATTTATTACTGACGTTTGCTAGATTAAAGTTTAATCTGCAATGAAACTTAGAGATTTGTAATATTCAATAGTTATGAAAAGTAGTGATGTTAAAGGGAATAAAATAGAACATATTTAAAATAAAGAGTCATCATGTATCTTGAAAATTTGTAAAAAAATATTAAATTAAACTGCTCAAGGAAGTTAGTCATCATAGTACATTTTTGGGGGTGGGGAGAAGTAATATTCATTTTTTAAGATGGAACAATGAAAACAACACACCACAGTCACGAAAAAGATATTTTTATTCACAGTCAATGAATTTGCACAGTATTTTTCTTTCACATGACAAATCTTTCCAACTTGATTTTTCTCAAGTTCTGAGAAAGTTTTTTTTTCATTATTTCACACACTTTCCAAATTTTTCATCTATCATTTTGAGAAGAGTAATTATTACTGCAAGATTTGTTAGAACAATTAAATTTATTCTTTGT